GACTGGGAGGTGAGAGATTGGGCACGTGAAGGCAGCATCTGAGGTGAAGTTCTGTTATACACTCAGACTGTGACTCCAGGGAAGTCAGTGCATCACAGAACTTTGTCTCGGGAGCTCGGCAGCGGCGAGAGGGAGACGAGACAGGCTCGGCGTCCGGAGGCAGAACGAAAATACTCGGCTGTACTGACAGCACCTCCCAGTGGGGCACACGCACTCTGACACGGAGAGTGGCGGTAGGCAGCCACAAGAGCCTGATTCCTTTCATTTACTGTCAGTAGTGGACTTTCAGACTTCCATTCCACAGCTGTTCAATCCAGTTCAGGTTTTTACACCTTTTGGTGTGTCTGTGCAGGTTTACTCTAGATATGGTCAAAATAGCGCCGCCTGGTGCTGCAGTGGTTAGCGTTGCTACCTCACAGTGCAAGGGTCCCAGATTTTATTCCTGAGGTGCTGTCTGTGTGGAGTTTGTATGTTCTTCTCATGTTTGCGTGTGTTCTCCAGCTTCTGGGAGAACAGGCCCTGGTGTGAGTGTGAGTGTCAGATCTTGTGATGGACAGGCGTCCCATCCAGTGTGTGTCCTGCCTTGTGCCTGTTTGCTTGCCAAGATAGGCTGAATCGGATCAAGCAGCTGGATGAATGACTGATGGTGCTGGCTTATAAAGAAGTGTGTCCTGAAACCTGAGTTGTCTCAGTCTGCAGTGCAGTGTGGGGTCCTATTTTCATTTCTGACACAAGGTTATAGTTCAGAAACTTCAAAGGAAATAGGCTCTTGTTTGCTTTGACATTGATTCATCACTCTAGGCAAATTAGGCAATTTCAGTAGAATGTGCCCCTCTCACTCTGTTATGTGTGTTGCTGTTATACTGACCCAGAAACTCCTTTTCTTCAAACAGGAACCCTCTCTGTACACTGTGAAAGCTGTACTAATACTGGATAACGATGGCGAGAGGCTGTATGCAAAGGTAAGGAGGTTTTCTCTTACATTTTTATGTCAATCATTTCATTTCCTGCTGTAATAGCTCTTCCATGCGTGCCTTGTTGTAACTTTGTAAAGTGCTCTGTAACTTCATAAAACAAATCTAAGACCGATTGATTGTGTCCACAGTATTACGATGACACGTACCCCTCTGTGAAGGAGCAGAAGGCCTTTGAGAAGAACATCTTCAACAAGACGCACCGCACTGACAGTAAGATCAACCTGCTGTGTTTTAATTCATTCGCATACCTGCACTGGTCACATGTTGGGGTTCTCCCTGCCCACAGCCCTGTTGATCTAGGTAGGGGGATGCATCTCTTCATCTGGAGCCAAAAATTGGTCTTGAATTCGTTACAAATGTAAATTTAATAAGTTTCTATATC